TTTTTTTTTTTTTTTTTGCTTCATCTGTATATATGTACTAAAAGGGAACTATGGTAATTTAATGGTATTTTTTAAAGCATCTTGTAGTATAAGGTATATATTTGAATATGGTAAGTATTACATATTTATCAAAGTTCCCTGTTATTACTATCTCATATAATAGCACGGGGATGCAGCCATGTTTATATATAAGTAACAACAGAAGAGAGAGGAGGAAAAAATAAAATTACCAGTCCTAATTTCTTCCTGGTCTGTTCCGTTCACATAATCTTGACTGACAAGAGATGCAAAACACGCCTGTGATAATGAAAAACATTAAAGGACGGATGATTAAAAGACAAACTCTAGAATAACACCACCAGATTATATAGACTAAAATATTAACTAATAACAACTCCAGTGACAATGTAATGGACATAACTGACACCGTTTCGATCAACAACCAATCAATTAATTAATTTCTACTGCATGCATAAAACCTGTACTTATATAAAATAAGAATACATTCATATTAAATATAAAAAAAAGGTTGAGAGCGTGTATAATAAGTTGATCTATCTAGAAGCAGTCAATCTTGTACAGAAAACCTATCACTGGCACGTAAGCAGCAGCAGTTTTCTCGATCTCCTCACCTCGAAAGAAGCTTCCAGTTCATCTACTAATGTGTTATTTGTCCCTCTATTACCGGGAGGACCTGTGAGGAGCCCTGGCTGACCTGGACCGCCGGGACCTGTAGGTGCATGAGGTCCAGGAGGCTGCTGACCAGGAAACATTCCGCCCATAGACGCCATTTCTCCACTAACAGCAACTCGTCTTCTTCGTGTGCGTCAGAAGACGCGGCAGGCTATTGAAGGTGTAAAGTATCGCCACCTACTGCACAGGACGAGCAACGCAGTTCATGTATTCATGCTATTAAAAAAAGACAAATGTTACAAACAAGCAAATTTCCACCACCGTCATTTCCACTAAAGACTGCTACACATCACAATCGCATTTCAATTTTCAAGCTCTTCAACATTATTAACCTTCTATGGCATGCATTATGTTCTAACCATGAAATAATTTTTTCAAATAAGTTTTTATTACATGAAATAGCTTCAATCATACAAATCAAAACAGATGAATAAATAAATAAATACTAAGGGAAACGTTGCTATTGCAACGCTGTACCACAATGGAAAATGGTAAAAAAAAAAAAAAAAAAGTAGATGATTTTCTTTTCTATTTAAATGCACAGTTCTTTTAGAAACAGGCAGATTTACTGTAGATACTCGGAACTCATGCAAACCAAAAATAAGTAGATCCCTATCATTTAACCTTCACTGAAAGCTAACTCATCCTCACTCTCGTCACATGGAAGAGCTAACTCTGCACTCTTCCGTATAATATTGCTGTATTCATTTTCTGAAAAGAAGTAATTTTGTTATTTATACATAAATACAACTACAATAAGCACTTCAGATAAATAAATAACTGCAATCATATTATTGATGATACTAGCTATAAAAAATCCCAACGTGGAAATACATTACTGCAATTCCACTGTGGTACAGCATTGAATAAAAATACTTAACAAAGATGGTGCAAAAATCCACTTTGAAAAGAGATGTATAGAAATGAGGTTAATGTAATAGCATGTAATAATTCATGACATGGATTTTTATATTTTAAGGTTGAAAGGGTCATGTACATAAAAATTATACATGTAAAATGTCTCCAAGACAGATTGGATAACACAATGAAAAAAGTTGAAATCTGTTTTAATAAAATCAAGTAAGCTGCCCAAACTTCATATCTGTTACTGATTCTTATTCTGTATCCATAGTGACCTGAAAACCAGACTTTGTATTTCAGCTTCGTGCCATTGCACATTGCTCATTACACACGCACGGATGAATAACAGCTCAAAATTCGCTCTTTTCACCTCTCCACTGACTTGGGCCTCTTAAAGAAAACTTGAGCAAAAGAACCTGCAGCAGGCAGATAAAAACTTACAGTTCGCACAAACAGGTCAAAGAGAAAGTTCACTGACATTTAAAAGAGCTTGAGCTCCAGAGCTATACGTCTAATAAAATTGGCAGAAATATCTATAGAGCATCTGTCTAGTTGTCATTAAGTGTTAGAAGAGTGTTTCAAAGCCTCTTCAGTGAGCCGTGGGTTTCCAGTAATCTACTTCATGTTTAATGTCAAAAGGAAAAAGAAAGAAAGAAAATACAATGATAGAAAACATTTCTGGAAGAGCTAGTGAACCTTTGAAGTAGAGTAAATCTCTTCAGTTGTTTTGCATCATTACAGTATATATAAGGGAATATTGACTTTTATCCATAAACACGCACTTGAACGCACTTTTATTCACTACTTTCTTCCACCAAGTGGCACTGCTCTGTTCAGTAAGAGAGATTTCACAGGGTGCATTGGAACTAATTCCACAGCTTTTGTCAAATAGGTTTATTTTTAAACGCCAAATTCTGAGACCTTAAAGTCTTGGCTACAAAAAGATACCGAACATTTCTACTTTTAGTCTATCGTTCAGAAACTTAAAAACACTATTTACAAAGCAGCTAAAATGTAAAGGTAACTGGATGAATTGTATCGGCTAAATGTTCTCTTAAAATGCATGTGACAAACTGAACTTGCATTGACCTGATGTCTTTGTCTTGAGGACACAATTCAATCTTTCGGTTAAAATCTATCATCTATAGTTGACTCTTGCCTGGGTGTATGCCAGTGTGATTTACTGTGTTCACTTGTTTATCTAACAGCTATTATATGATATTGAAATTTCAGTTTGGTGGACATAATTCTCTGTCATTTATGAGTGTTTTGAACTACAGTAGGCTATATGATTGAAACCATCATGTGACATTTCCCTGTGACAACTTGCCCCGGTCACCCCTATATTTTTCCTATCCACATTTTTCCTGTAGTAAAAATGAGCGCGGCCATTTGTACATTTTATGGGTCTGGCTTCCGGTCTCCTCTGCATCCAGCTATTTTTAGCTGTACAAAACAATTCGTTTTGCTGCTTGATATTGAAAATTGGTGTGTCTTATCATATTATTTTAATGTATCATCTTATTTATGAACACACTGGTTTGTAGTGCAAACAGTTTTACCGTTTACTGCACGTTGTTATTCTCCTCGTTATTTACCTATAGTGGTTAATGATCCGGAAGTCTCACCCATAGGCTTACTTCTGCGTTGAAGAAAAAGGTGGATACCCAACTAACGGGGAACGTCCTCAGAACTTTAGCTAATAGTCTGGCAAGATTCTCTGAAAGTTCTAAACAAACATTCTTCCAGAAACGTCAGTAGAATGTTGGCTCAAAGTTATCTGGTTTTAATAGGCCTAACGTTCTGAAGACACACACACACACACACACACACACACAATGTTATTTGTACTTAGTTCTTGAGACTTTTTTTCTGACATGTATTAACATTAATCGTTTAGTGGACGCTTAAGCGACTTGGATGTTTGTATGTTTTTTTTAAACGTTGCAGAACGTTTCAAAAACGTTTCATCTAACGCCTAACCAGGAATTTGTTTTGAAAACATTAAAGGTGACGTAAAATGAAAATCTGACTTTTCCAGGTTTTAAGTGCTATAATCAGGTCCCCGGTGCATCTACGAACCAAGGAAACATGAAAAAGATTAACCCAGTAACTTTGTTTTGGTAAGCCTTTTTCTGCAAGCGTCTGAGAACACGACGGCGTCTGATTTCGCTCCCCTAGTGACGTGGCAAAGGGATCTCATTATAATATTACCGCCCCTTAATCTGTAAGTTTACACCCACGGCGCCGTCATTTTGATTTCGCAAGCGACAACGGTGCACCAGCTCTAATGCCATGGCGAAAGTTTGAGCAAAACATGCTAACTGTTCTGTGTTTGGCTGCACAGACGAGCACAGAACACTGTTTAGAGTCCCAGCCTCAGAGGAGACAAGACAGCAGTGGATTTATTGATTTATTTACTGTAGGCTATATTGCTGCTGCCACACAGATCTAAAATAAACAAGCGATTTATTTCCCAGCTGTTTACCTTCACAGACATAACCCACTGTTTTTGTAACTGGTGTGTTTTTAACATAAACTTGTGTGAATGAGAACTTAGTTTAGTACTCACATGCTGTGACAGCCGCTTTCTGT